CTTTAAATAGCTTATCATCCATTCCTTTAGGAATGCCGCTGAGCGTACCTTTAAATATGTTTTCTCTTGAAAACACACGAGCAACTCAAGCCACACAAGTTTCTCAATTACTCTCACCCGCACCTTCATCACTACTTTCTATACTTGAATATTGCGACACTCACACAGCAGACGAATTGAACATTCCAGAGTTTTTCCAATACAGCAAAGAAAAATATGAAAGTCAAAAAATGGGATGTGGCCGGTGGAGAAAATCATCAATCAATGAAACAATCGTTAATTCCTCTTTGGATGGAGATGATGACACAAGCAGGTACATGCAATACGCTAGAACAAAATTTACATCTCTGCGTACATCTCTGAAAAAATATCAAATTGACTCAAATTGATACTATTATTTGACCTTATTGATGCAGCAAAATGTCACGTGTCAAGTTTAAACGTCAATTACACATTCAATCAGAGCAAAAAAGACGTGCAGAAATCAAAGATGCTTTTAAGGAACTCCGTAGACAGCTCCCTAGCACTTATACAGGTCGCAAGATGAGTAAAACTGTCTTACTTCAGAAAGGTGATCGCAGTTTTTATTTTTATTGGTACCATTTAACAATGAAACATATAATTTGCAGAACTCACCACAATTATTGTCAATTTTTGTGTAAAGCTGTCTCGCATCTTAAGAATCAGTCAAGGAAGGAGTCTTTTCTTCTCGATGAAATCAATCGTTTGAGTCAAACTTGTAATTTGAATGCAGAATTGGAAAAGGAGAAAAGGTAAAAATATTATTTTTGCTTTTCTAGAATGTGTTATTAATATCTATTTAATTGATTTAATTTATTTGAATTTTTAATAGGGTGAATGAATTATACAGACAAAAACAAACTCTTGATAAATAAAGAATAATTACCAGAGTTTAGAGCAACGGTAATTTGAGCGACTGTTTCAGGTAGAAAGACAAATTGCATGTTTTCGAGAAGCTTATATTTTGTATAATTTAAAGGAGTAGTTTCTTGTCAGAAAATAAAGGAGGAACGATGCCAATTTATCTGATTTTTTAGATTTACGTATAGCAATCTTACAGCAATAACAAGTTTAGTTCATGATACAAAAGTCAAATGTAATAGAGGACCTAAATCTTTATTTATAAATCCAGGCGAACGTGTTTTAAAATATTCAATATAATGTACATTAAGGAAACTTAATATTTAAAGTATTAATTAGCTATATAGTTATTACAGTAAGATCTGCATTGTGTGTAATAAAAAACATTTAAAATTAATACTATATATAAGCTTATTAGGACGAGTTTTAAAATATGCAATATACAGAGTATACAGTATAGCATACATTAATATTTGGCTGTATATAACAGTACATTATTATTGAAATAGTGAGATTAGAGAACTACAGCTACTTCTGAAGCTTATACTGGCTTATACCTTATTATTCCGATAATCTAACGCTAATACAGTACTATTGTATAAAACCGGAAATGATATTTTTTTATATTGATATTGTATAATTCAAAGCGATATTTTTTCTATCATTAAAGATTTTTTTTTCGAGCACTAAGCCACTATAATTCATGAATGCTCCCGTGATTCTGACGCGTCTGACGCAATATTCGTATCCAACCTGTTTCAAAAAAGTACACTTAATGATTAATATATAGCATAACCAATTACTAGCATATTAATAAAATTAGTAATTTTTTTTATGTCAGAATAGATCATGTGTAAAACTTTTTAAATAAAGGGGAATCACAAACTTTTTTAGATCAAACATTTTCTACAAACATGCATTTACCAAACGAGGTCCTTTTAGATATATTTAAAAATTTTAAGAATAATCCCAAAATCTTATTTTCATGCCTTCTTGTAAACCGTTTATGGTGCAGAATTATTGTATCGATATTATGGACTGCTCTTTACTTTAATGATACAAGAGTCATCAAAATCTGTTTTTTAGAACTAAATGCCGATGAACAAGCACTCTTAGTCCCTTTTAAAATTGCCTTTCCAGAAAATAATCCGAAGCCGTTAATTGATTATACAAGCTTTGTTACTTATATCGACAGTCTGTATTTGAGTATAGGATTGTTAAATTTTCTTAATAATTGCGAAGAAAACTATCCTGTAACAGCTGCTAAATGTTCATTGATTTCAATGTTTCTACGAAAAAGTAAGAAACTTAACTCTTTAATTCTTTTCAATAATAACCTCAGTTCTTTTGGAGGAAACACGATAACAGTGATAGCAGAGGCTCTTCTCAAAAACGACAGTTTAATTTATTTGCATCTTAAGTCTAATCAGCTTGGCTCTGATGGAGGAAAAGTGTTAGCAAATGCTCTTTGCAATAATCAACTTGATATTGAGGAAAGAGAAGCATTTTCAAATGCCCTCCAAAAAAAAAAGCGCTTTAACTTTTTTAGATCTTTCAGATAATAACCTTGGTTCAAACGGAGGGGAAGCAATAGCAGATGCTCTTGGCAAAAACAGCTCATTAACTTCTTTATATCTTTCAACTAATAACCTTGGTTCTTACAGAGGAAAAGCAATAGCAGCTGCTCTCTTCAAAAACAATACGTTAACTACTTTAGTGCTTTCCAATAATGAACTTGGGTCCGATGCTGGAAAAGCACTAGCAGATTCTCTTTGTAAAAATACCGCTTTAATTTCTTTAGATCTTTTATTTAATAACCTTGGTTCTTACGGAGGAAAAGCAATAGCAGATGCTCTCTTCAAAAACAATACATTAACTACTTTAATCCTTTCCAATACTGAACTTGGATCTGATATTGGAGAAGCACTAGCAGATTCTCTTTGTAAAAATAGCGCTTTAATTTCGTTAGATATTTCATGTAATCAGCTTGGCTCTGATATAGGAAAAGCGTTAGCAAATTCACTTAGCCAAAACAACATGTTAACTGCTTTATATCTGTATAATTGCCAAATTGGGTCTGAAGGTGGAGAAGCATTAGCAAATGCACTTTACAAAAATAATAGTTTATCTTTTTTAAATCTTTCATTCAATGACCTTGGGAATGTTGTAGGAAAAGCATTAGTTAATTCTCTTCAAGTGAACAAAACTTTAACCTCGCTGATATTTATGGGTAATCAATTTAATCTTGAAGTAAAGAAGGATTTAGATGAAATAGTTAATAAAAGAAGGCGGTTGAGATCTCTGATTAAGAATTCCGATTACTTTATATAATAGACCTCTTTCAGTAATAAAAAATTTGACATTAATATTTTTTTTTTGTTTCATATATGAATACATGTAAATTTATTGGAATATCAATTACTGGTATTAATTTACAAGTTGCTTTATCAAAAGCAACCAATATGGTTATAAATCATAAATATAGAATGACTACAATTGTTTATTAAGAAATAGTAGATCGAAATAATATTAAAACAACAAATGATCTTTTTATATATTAACATTTTATAATCTGTACTGTGCAATTACTTTCGTGTATACCGTATATGAATAATTTTAAAAATTTTATTCCCTGATAAAGTATTAAATTTAAAAGAATCATAATTCCAAATTCATAGTATTCCACTACAATTTGGGCTAGCATTAAAATAATTTTGGCCTGAACGATAGAAATCTAAACATGAATTATGTTATTTTAATCTAATTTCATGTGATTAACCAATCATGAATTATAGAATAATTCTGATAGATAAAGAAATTCATTTTATTCACTAACAAAAAATAAAATTTCTCGTTAAAAAAAATCATAATATCATTACAACTATAAGTACCTACACAAAATTTACCCAAAAATTTCTACTGAGAAAAATTTATAAACCAAAATTCAGTCCTAGTACATTTTTTTTGAATATATATCTTATGTTTTCAGCAAAGAAACACGATGAAATTCATATTTCTCATTAAAAAACCATGCTATAATCAACAATCAGCTTATTACGCTTATAACAATTCGTCAAATAATTAGTAGATTATTTCACTACCATCAACCCACCTTTTATTTCGTTTAATAATTTTTCTGTTTCAAAGTCAAATTGATTACCATT